GTGGTACTCACACATGAGCTAACTGAGGCCAAGATAGTTAAAAGGCAGTTTTGAGCACACTCAGAGCACTTCCATGCAAAAAGCCACCAGTTTCATACATGAGTTCCTCTTTCCATTGTGTTGCAATGTTGAAGATGCCTAGAGTCTATCTATACCTTTATTTGTGTGAGTGCCACAGAACTTGCCATAGTTCCCATGTTTTTGTTCAAGACTTGTTAAAGCTGTGGTTTCTGTGGCCTGTTGAATTTTTTAAAAAGTGAGTATTAAAATAGATGCACCTTCATTACATTTAATTAATTCAGCTGTTGTATTTAAAAACAAATCCAAAACAGTCTGATCTCTGTTAAACTGATCCTGTAAGAGAACTCCTGTATTGCTAACAGAATATCAACATTACAGTATTATCTTTGAAATAATTGTGAGGTCAAATGTTTTGGCTTGAAGACTTCTTTCTGTTTTATGTTTAGGTCAATCGAATTCTAAAAGTTGCAAAACCCAATATTGTGGTCATGAAGCTGCTGGCAGGAGGCCACAAGAAAGACTCTAAGGTAAGGACATGCCAGCTCAATTGAATATAAAATGTTTGCATACATTAAGGTTGGATTCAATGATCTGGAGATTTCCCAACATGAATGGTTCATCTAATTCTATGTAAAGCCACCACAGATGTCTTAAGAGCCAAATGAGCACATTCAAGCTGTAGTTACTCTAAGAACAGGGAAAGTAACTTAATTTATTTTTCTCCTGGAAATAGTTTGTTGTAGTTAAGTAAATATTCTAACCTGTAAATGTTTTCAGAAAAAAAATGGGAAAAACATGTTGGACAACACAGACTATAAGAGTGTTCCTCCATAGTGGGAACAAGCAAGCGTAACAGCAGCTTGTGTGAACAAAGTGATGGGAATGCTGGCTGCCACAAGGACAATGTTTTTTCAATCTGTTGCTGTTAAATTTTTTTTTCTGTCTGCAGGTTGTTCTCGTAGTAAGTATTAAATGCAGTAGTACTGCTGTCTAGTGTCTAATCTTAAACCTTTTCTTTATAGGTTCCTCCAGAATTCGACTTCTCTCCTCACAAATACTTCCCAGTTGTGAAGCTTGTTTGAAGTACAAGACATTTTTTTAGAGTACCTGAAGAATATCTGTGTAGCAGATACCAGCTTTAGGAGGCGGAATAACTAGTGCTGCACTCGGACTACGAGGGACATCCAGGATAAAAATACTGTCACGTGGAATATCTGTACTGCTGCCTTTTTGTGATTTGAATGACAACTGCTGTTTTAAAGTGGTTTGTATAAAGTTTATTGGATTTTATGCGTGAAGCTGATTTTAATCAACTGTATTATTAAAGAACATGGTATCTTAGTTGATATTATTACAGATTTTGATCATAAATAATTTTTATTACTGAGTTCTGACAAAGTGGTGCATTAGGAACGGAATAAAAATCATGCAATAGAGCCTCTTGTCTGATGTGCACAGCTAAGCTACTGCAATTCTGCATTTGCAGTCACTTGGAGAAATTTTGAGTTCCTGTATTTTTGTATAATTGTATCAGAATTGCTCACTTTGCAAGTAGAGAAATGTTGGAGTTTTTTTCCTCACCACGTCCTCCAAGCTAAAATGATCTTTATAGAGATCAAGAGCAGATGAAAATTAGTCGTTGAGCAATTGAGTAAGTGATTCCTAGTTTGAATTTGTTCGTCTTTGTTCTCCAAGTGCTGAAGAATCTGCACAGCAGATGCTCCAGTAGTCACTAGCAATAGCACCAGACACTGAAAACTCTATTTTACCAACTCTGCAACTTTGTTACAATCCTAGTATTTGTTTGTGCAAACAAGGGGTTGCTACATTTGCATGATCTTTATTCTCCATTTTGACTGCAATGGGGCTGCTCCATCCTATTGTCTTCTGTAGTTATTTTCAGGTAGATTTCCAAAACAGGAGAAGCCCCAAATGTATCCCTGCCTTCCTGGAATAGTTATGCCTTCCAAGCTTTCAGATGTGAAATAATAGAGGTAAGCTGTTGTGTTGTAGCAAAAAAGCAACCAGGGAAGAAATGTTTTTCCTTTGCTACAAGCAAGGAAGAAGATGTTCAAAAAGCAGACCTGGCCCTGGCCAAGTCATACTTAGGCCATACAAGCAAATCCTTTGTTGGACATGACAAATCTTCATTTTGGTGTACAATGACTTCCACTGTAGGGATGAGCTTGTAACTCCATATTGGCCATACAAAATATTTTTGGTGTTAATCCTATCACCTGATTTTACTGTGGATTAATATCAATTCAGCTTCATCCCCTGAGCAGAAGCACTGCAGAGCTAGAGCTTGAAAACAGTGAGTAACCTCTGAAGTAGAACACCCACTTGTCTTCCAGAAATTTGCAGCTTCCTGAAATAAGCAGAAGTACTGTCCTGAAGACATGTTTTTTTCCAAATTCTCTGCTAAAGAGATGGCATATCACATTACATGTTTGCTTATCATCATGATTAATACACTTGAATGCTTCCATATGGCTGCCAAAGTAATAAAAAGCCTGGAATATGCAGAGGTAAAATGGCACAGAACATTCATCTGGCTTCCTGTAAACAGTCACAAAATCTTCCCATCTTAAAGATCCTGAACTACATGACAGTAGCTCAAGGACAGCCTTTGTTATTTCTCCAAAGTAAAAGAGAAAGCAAATTACATGTGATTTGTGGAACCAAGAAAATAGCAATAATAATATTTCCCCTTCTAATTACAATTAGAACTAGATGAATTGTACAAAATAACATCAGTACACCAGAGAAGATTACTTTTAAATGCTTATCTAAAATGGATCAAGTTTAGTTGTAAAGAAAACCAAACAAAGTGCTAATAAAACACCAAGATGCTTAGAGAAAAGTAGTAATGCCTCACAGAACTAAAAACTTTAGTGAGAGACAATACTATGTACACCACAGTTCCAAATTAATCTCTTGTTCAGCTACAGGTCTTTTAATTCAAAAGTTCTGTACAGTAGACATACAGGCCTCTTGCCTACTAGAAACCTACCACCCAAGTTAGATTGAAGCACTTGAAGTCATTGTGAATAAAACTGTAGTCCTTGATTTTGAACTGCTGTTATGCATGTTTTCGGACCCTTTGCCCTCAGAGGTTTACAAGTATGCTTTGTACAGGGGTGGGCATATTTATGAAGGACAACATCCGGTTGGCTAGGAGAAGCCCAAAAATGTACAGAAGCATAGCCAAAAAAAATAGTTTTAAAATAATCCTCTGGCAATATATTAATTACCCTTAAGTGTTTGATTCTTTGGAATTTTTATCTTGGTACTGCTAAAGCTATTCATACAACTTGATTTTAGTGTTTCACTGTCTATTTTTTACTGTTCAAATATATGCTTTTTAACAATCAATATTAAATTCCTGATCAAATTAAATCTCAGCTGTGTAATTGTTTACAGATTAAATCCTAGGAAAATGGTCAGAAGATGGGTAAATATTTTTTATTTTATTATATTTTATTTTTTTTATATTTTTTATTATTTTATTATACCCAAATTATGGGTAAACACTTTGATGTTCAAACATGTCGTTATTTGCAAAAAATATCCCAGTAACCAGAGCTTCCCAATACTTGTCAGAACAGATGCTCATTCCTCTTCTCTTCCATTTACAATCATGTTTTCCCTGCTGTGTTGACTGTAGTAGCCCAGACCAGTTAGGTCCTACTTAAATGGTGAAAAACTGTTAGTGAACTGTTTCTGTGTTTAGGCTTAACAGGCATCTTTTGACTTAACTCTGACCTTCACTTGATGACAACTCATACTCTCTTCATACACAAAAGAGCCAGCCTTATCTTAAGGTACAGGATAAACTAGTGCACTGAAGAATGACACACCACAAAAGGAGTTACAAAGTGAAGTGCTTTAACGGAAGGGAAAGACAAGTTTGTTTTCCTAAATGGAATGCTGGTTGGCAAGTTAGTCACAGCTGTCTGGCAGCTGTGCTGTCTTGATAGAGGTTGGTTCATACTCACAAACAATGCTCCAAATACAGGTGTCGGTCTTGGGAGCAGACACAAATACAAAAATTTCTTCAAACCAGCTGCCTATACATGGTGGTTGGACTGCAGTTAAGGGTGTAAAATAGTAAAATAGTTTTTACTTTACATTTAACAAGTTTCATTTAGATTTAACAGAAAAGACTGCAGAACATTAACAAGATGATACATTGAAATTAACATACAACTTCACAACAACTAAAGCCTCACCTCTGGAAGACTGCCTTGTCTTCTAAAGGCATAGTCTGGTTACCTCTGTCAGAAGTCCAGCAGAGAAGATTAGTCATGTTGAACAGCTGAGATTGCTGTTGTACAAGGCAAGCATTTGCATTCCTCTGTTTTCACAAAAGAAAGTGGCTGGGTGGAATAAAGGGCAGTTGTAGTACACATTTCAGAGGGCTTCTGTCATGAAAAGTTTGTGAGTTTGAATTTTTACACTAAACTTGTGCCCAGTAGTGGTAACCAAACCAAATTGTAGTACTGACCTTGTGGAATCAAACAAAGCTTTCAGAAAAATCTTCCTGGCTAATCTCTTAGCAAGAAGCTTCTATTGTCAGAATCCTTTTCGGGGTTTTTTTTAACTTTGAAGCTAAGAACACATCTCAACAGTGTACTCTAGGAATTTTATTTAGAGGCCCAGGTACATATATCATTCCGCACAGTATCTGAGGACTACAGTTGTGCTTTCTCAGCAGAGAGATCCATCCTTGGCAGAGGACTGCTCATCATCTACCACCAATCCACACATACACTTACTGCAGTGTGACCATACAAGGTAGCCAATTTCAAAGTTACTAACTTTATTGCTACCTGATTGCAATTTTATAATTGACAGGAAGGAGAAAGTCATTGCAGAGGCCAAACTGCTTTGAAACAAGCCTCCAGAGATACACCTCTTTTCCTCACTGCAACAGTACTAAAACTTCACAAGAAAATACTACTTCATTTGGGCCCTTAGTCAAGCCTTTAGAAGATAATCAAAACCTTCTAAAATCACTTTGCTTGGATCATGGCTGCATTTAGGTGAAGAGGTGACTCAGTTGTATCATGAACTTCCTTTGTTCACAACTTCTGTAGTCCTTCACCATTGTCAGGTAAATGGTTCTTCATATCTTCATGGTTTTGAACTAATGGGGAAAGAAAAAGAAAGAAAAGGAACAAAAATCTCTTTTAGGAGGCAGAAGTTCTTCATGTAGAAAGTTCTATCTAGAAAACAACAAGAAATTTTGTAAGGACTGTTAAATACTATGTAGTATGGTAAGGTTACGGATACCTCACCCCCCATTAATGAGTAGATTTAGTGGTGCTAAACAGAAAATAGGTGACACTATAAACATGAGGGAAAGTTCAAGAAACAAACAGAAGTTAGCTACGTATAGCTTGCTACAGAATACCATGCAAAATATGATCTTAACATTTTAAGCATGTGATACTTATGTTAAAACTGGGTTTTTTTCTTTTTTACCATTTTCAATCCCAGCAAGTGCTGCTTGCTTGTCAGTTTCTGATTCAGCTTCATTCACATCTAAATTGTAATCAACATCCTTGTCCTGGTTCACTTCTTCACGTTCCTGTTTGTCTGGAAGATTAAAATTAAGTCATTTTATGCTATACCATCTGCACACAAGAAGAGTGACTGTAAACATCTTCCACAGAATTACATTGCTGCTGAATGAATTGCTGTTCTGAGTAGGTTTTATATTATTTTTTCTTTGAACTGTTAATTTTCAGAGCAACTTTGGCTGTAAATCCTGTCAAAAGAAGTAGATAAAAGACAATCTTTTGGGATTTGCAAAGCATAGCAAAATCAGCTAGCCCTCTGATGAACATAAAGAAAGAATATTTTATATAGTTTTATATAAAGAAAAATTACACAATTTCAGAGTGTATTAAATGACAGCCTAAGGAAGGGCAAAACCTGAAGTAATTGCTGAAAACCCCTTCTTGTTTTAGCTTGTCCAGCAAGCGGAATGCTGTAACTAGAGCGTAAAATGTTATATGATGTGGCAAATTGTCACAAAAGTACTTTTTTCTCCCAGAAGATTTTCTTCACCCAGTCATTAACTCCTCTCAAGCAACATTTACTGAGTATCAGATTTCTTTAGATAGAAGACTCAGATATAAATGGAAACATTTCTGATTGCCAAACTACCATCCTTCTTTTTCAAATAATCAACCAGAAAAAAGGTAACAGCAGAGAGGTATAAGCAAACCTCACTTAAACTAGATCACAGCCTCTCTTCTATACATTCTTAAGACAAACTTTTGAGTTAGTAAGTGGCTAAGAAAGAGGCCTGAAAATGTTAAGCTTTATGTAATTCATGTTCAGACCACCACATCCATTAGATTTTTATAGTTATGGACCTAAAGGTCTAAAAATTTCAGAAGCAGCTCTTCTTGAAAGAGGATGCCCATAGACTACTGAAGAAGTCTTTGTACCTTAAGCTCCTTTGGCTACAAGGAACCTGTGCAGTAAGGTTGAACAATAAAGCCTGAAGAACATCCTCCTAGCCTTTCTTTAGCTCACAGAAATGCAGACCATTGAAACTGAGTTCTCATGGGCTGCATGGCAGAGATTTTTCCTTGCACTAATTGTTGGATGATTTTATAAAAATCTAATCTTTCTGCTATTTACTTCCATGAAAATGAAAACAGTTTAGGTCACTTATCATTACATCTCTTTGGGGTGCATAGCCTGCTCTGGCCAGCATCTTTATGGATCAGTTGGAAAAATACTGCTTTAGCAATGCAGATGAGATTATTTATCTCTGCCAAGTTAGTTAGCAACAATATTAACACTGAAACTTAAAATTCTAAGGATGTGTTTACTAGAAAAGCATAAACAGCATTTTTTGTGGGCATCAATTACTGCTCTGACTGCCATAAGGCTGCCTTTTGATTACACTGGGCTACTGAGACCAAATCCCTCAAGAAAGAGGAATGTCTAGACATTGGTCAGGTTTAGCCACAGCATCAATACTCTGCTGCTTGGTGCTGTTGAGATGTGTAGCTCAGGGTCACTTGACAGATGCCAGAAACTGGCACCTTTACAATCCATGTTTTTGAAGACTCACAACAGTCAATGTCAGATACCTGAAGTCTGAGTTACCAGTTTTACTCATGGTAGCTTATTTTGAAATAGGAATAGCTAGTATTCACACAATGACATTGTAAATTGACTAACTGCAAAACATCCGTGTGTAAGTGCTCTACTCATCAGTGCTTTGGATGATTAACATCTTATTCTTTTCAGATGCATCATATTCTTTTAAAGCCCCAATACCAAAAAGTTTTGGAGTGAATTTCCCTAAACACTTTGTAGAGCCACTGTAAAGACAGTAGGGCTGTTATGGTGATGCAGAGGAACTCAGCCTGGCAGCTTCGTTTTGCACAATCAGAAGCCTCCATCTTTAACTCATGGATTGTAGGTGACTGCTTGGGACTGACACCTTTCACACCACACTGACCTTTATGAAAACTTGTACTAAGTCTGGCCAGCTTCCACCACTGTTGTAGAAATTACGTCCTACTCCACACTTTCAATTTATTTTTCATTTTGTTACTGTTTTTAACAATACATGATATGCTACAAACCAGCCTTTCCAGGGAGCAAGTCATCCTGCTTATCATCGTAACTTAGGAACTGTTCCCTCTCAAATTCCTCACTGGCAGCCTGCTCTGCGGCTGGCTCTGACATATCTTGCCCAGCTACATGTTTCTCATCCTCAGGTGGATTTGGCTCCTTCTCTGACACAGGCAGCATCTCCTTGTGACCTGCAGCAGCCTTCAGCAACTCTTGAGGTTTTTCCAACTGACTAGAAAGCTGCTCCTCTTCTGCCTTAGGCTCCTGTTTTCCCATGTCAGTTAGGCTGTCTGTTCTTTCTGAAAACAACAAAAATGATTCTGAGTTTAAAAAATAATGCCTTCCAGAGTGGCACACGTTAAAAACCTTTAATAAAGAATGCTTTGTATTTCACACTAAATTATTGGTTTTCCTCTGAAAGAGTATCTTCTAATCACACCAGTACCAGGGATAAGAGAAAGACAACTTATTGTTCCTAGTTCCTAACTGGGAACAGCTAAATAAGGGAATTTTATTTACTTTCAACAGATTCATGCTTCTATATCCTTAAAATTTTGGTATGTGTGGTTAATAAATTGGGCAAGTGAAACAGAGCGGTTTAAATAGAAATTGTGGTATATAAGCATTAGGTTTCTGTTATTATTATTTCTGTTGTTATTATTACCAACAATAAAATTGATTTGGTGTTCAAAAGTAGCTCAGGACAATGCATCACAGGCAGATTTGCAAGTATCCAAGCCTGTTCTTGTTTAAGTGCAGGAGTGCTATAATTTTTAGTTGACATTAACATATATCTTTTCTCATGTATCTGCATTTTTAATTTAAAAAACCAATTAGATTTCTCAACTAAGCTATATGTAGACACTGTCTTCAGCTGCTAGCTCTCTAAAATGAGAGTTGCATGCTCACAAGATTGTAATTTAAGATAGCATGTAAAAGTAATTAAATTTAAGAATTTAATTTCTATCACACACACTACAATGCAAAACAGACACACAGGGATACATCCATTCAAAGTAATAGTTTCTGAAGTTTAGTGCCAAAAGGAACCATTAGACTAACTAACCTAAACCCATGTGTATCATTTCTCTCACTTGCATTTTGCTCAATGACAACGCATGGGAAGTATGGATGTGTGTTTGTTGTAAGCCTTTCAACTATTCCATAGGGAGGAGAGGGGTACCAGGTTGAATATGTCAAACTTATTAAGAAAGCAAATTTTAAGTATGTTTTAAAATTTTTCCTTCCAAAAGTTGGGTATTTTCTCCATATTAAATGAGGAAGATGACTCCAGAATTGTAAATATTTCTATTTATGTGCAACATGCCATACAACAACAAAACCGAACCAACAAATCCAAGCAAGTTTTCCTTTAGCTGTAAACCTGATTGATGTTCAGACTGTTGGTGTCACTTTTTTCACCCTTATCTGGTGTACAAAAACATTCCTAAATGGTCAGCTGAAAAAGAACTGTTCTCAATAACAGTTCTTAGTGAGACAAGGATTCCCATCTCACCTTTAACCTGCATCAGGTCTGTCTTTCTTACTGTAGGTACTGCTTTAGGAATATCTTCACCGGTTTTCTGCTGTTCCAAGTCAGCCTGCTTGAACCCTGCTTGCTTCAAGGCTGGCAGTTGAGTACCAACCTGTAAAGTGAATGCAGCAGATAAGCACTGGTCTATATAACTGCACCTGGATTTTAAAGGGAAGTAGAATTTAGGTAAGAATTTTGCATGGGAAAAAAATCCCAACACACTTGGAAATATTTGGACTGAAATTTTTATTGGTAATAGATGTACTGTACAACTCTGAATATGCAGTAGTGTTTCTATGTAACAGCATAGCACATCAGGAGAATTTTAACATACCTAATTTAACTGCAGCTAATGGTGACATTACTGCCCTTGATTATTCTCAGAGTGTTACAGAACAGTAACACCACACATTTATCCACTGTTGTTCTGCTACTGTGTCAGGGTCAGCAGAGCAAATAAACAGATGCCATTTACTATTAATAGTCTACAGGGCAAGAAAACTGAATTTGGTCATCATTAGACTTCAGCTGAGTAAGGCTTGTATAGAACTGGTCTGTAACTATATTAAATGCAGGATTAAGAAAAGTGTAAATTAACCAACTAGAAAATAATACCTGTTTAACATGATGGAGCTTGCCTAAGAATGTACTAAATTGTGGTCCTAGACTGCTGTAAACATCTGACCCACTTAGATATCAAGCCTAAGATGTACACCATCTTGAAGATCTTCCCACTGGGAAATTAAAATTTTATGTATGATTTTTACTTACACTGGCACTGGCTCCCTCACATGGCCCTGTATGACAGAGTTGGCATGTTTGCTTACCTGAGGCCCCCTTCCATCTCCTCCCCATCTCTGGATCTAGTGGCTGGCAGTCCTGCATTTGGTGCTGTCCCTGTCCCTCATCTATAGCATATGGGGAACAGGGAGCTCAGGAATGCCATGTCACCACCTCTCCATAAATTACTCCTAGACTACATTAATTAAGCATTTAGGGGTGTAGGTTTGTACTATACCTCTTGAGAGACACAGGACTTAACTTATGATTCACCATTAATTCCAGGTGAAAATGAAAGATGGTCAGTGAACTGAGGGATGTACCCAGGGGCTTTCACACAGGTGAAATTAAGAACACCCATACTCTAGGACAGGAATCTGAAGCTGCCTGTAGAGAATGGTGATTCTCCAGCTACAGCAGCTACAGCATGTTTCTGGAGTTGAATGGAGGTAGAAGACGTTTGAAAAGATGGGGTGGCCACACTTCCCCTAACGTAGCCCTACGGTTCATATGGTACCCCTTGTAGCACTCAGGCTCTTCTCTTCATGGTCTTTGCTAAAGCAGTCAAGACCCTGCTTGCCCTGATATATGGTGTTATTCTTTCCCCACTGTCATCTCAGAAACACTAAATGAGGGTGTAAAGCCAGGGCCAGTGGGGAAGGAGCAGAGCTGAGCTGTTTGTGGATGACTTTATGAGAACAAGCAATGAGAAAGACTTGAGAGGAAAAAGACAGAAAAAGAAAACAAAAATATAAGCTCAGATATGGGGTTACCTGCCTGGCAGCCCTGCATCAGGGAGTTCAATGGGACAAAGAAGCTACACTTCTTAACTCCAAATAAATGTCTGCTTCCATGGTCATTGGAAACCAGAATGCTCTCCTAGTCATCATCAACTCACTGCATTACCATCACTGCTCTCCAGAACCACCCCAAAAGAGGTAGTTATATCAAGGTGGGGATCAGCTTCTTCCAGGTAACAAGAGACGGGACAATGGGAACTGGCCCCAGTTGCACCAGAAGAGGTTTAGATTGGATATTAGGAAAATTTTCTTCGCTAAAAGTGTGGTCAGGCTTTGGAATAGGTTGTCAAAGCAGAGGAATTGCCATTCCTGGAAGTTTTCCAAAGCTGTGCCACAAAAATTTGGCACTTGGAGACATAGCTGAGTGGTGAACACAGCATTGCTTGGTTAATGGTAGGACTTAGAAGAGTATCTTACAGGTCTGTTCTGACCTTAATCATGTTATGATCCTATAATTGGCAGAGGACTATGTCAATTCAATTCACACAAACATTGAACGTTGAACATGAAATATACATGGAGCCCATTTTACTCTATACCTTATACCAGTTTGGTGAAAAAAACCCAGAGTGTTACAAATCCAATTATTCTGTGGGGTTTTTTTTTGTTGCACTTTTGGTTTTGTTTCATTTTAAAAAAGCCAAATATGCAGAGAAAGAACAAGCATATGCACATTCAGAGATACAAACCTTTGTGTCAGGTACCATACAAATGAATGGGCAGTCTTATGTTATAGGAAGTCTCACAGTTGACAGAATTGTTTTCTGTTACCAATTTTCATTGGTACTGTCAAGAGTGTAGCTTCCCATTTATCTAAGGAGGGCAGTAAAACAAGGGCAATAAAACACTATGTTGTCAAATGTTCATTCAGTCACTTGGAAAAATGACCACAGAAAGAAGTAGCTAAGTCACCAAGAAGCCAGAGTTGCAGCATGACTACTTGGCTGTTTTGAAAAGCATTTGATTTCCATCAAAGCCAGGCAGAACAAGATCTTTTTGTGTCAACACCATGAAGCCCAGTATCAGCAACTAATCTAGCATTAACTCTTACTGATGCTTGATAAGCAAATGGTACTGCAGAATATTTGGTTTTTGCAATAAAGATATTCAGAAGAACTCCATCTTCCTTGAATCAGTAAAACAAAAATGCTGTATTTAAACATGGTTCTGTTCTATAAATAATTCATCTCCTTAAGATCACTCTCTGTAGTGGAAGTCATCAGAAAATGAGCAAAAGACCATTTATCGCTTTTTGTTGGGCATGAATTATTCTGCAAAAATACTGAGCCTGGACTTAAAAGCAAGAAGTTACCTCTTAATTACACATGCAAAATCCCTTTACTTACCTTATATTTCTAGCTAAGTAATTCTTAATGTCAAATAGATTCAAAGGGTATATGCTGATTTTTTAAGTAGTTGGATAAAAAGATAGTAATTGAATGTGTTGTATTTTCTTCAGCCAATAAGTATACATCATTCTGTACACATGTACACAAATTACAGAGCTCTAAGTAAAGCTGTTTAGTTATTAACCAACACTCCATTTTTTTTCTGTTTTAAGACTGACTTTCTATTATAAGCACATACATCTTAAAAATAGGAATTACTCCAGCTTAAAACACTGGACAAAAACATACATAGATTTGTCAGGGTCATCTTGCACAAACTATAAGTATGCTTTTATAAAAGCAAAAGGTTGAAATTCTTGGGCAAGCAAAAAACTGATAAAGTTACAGCTTGGCCAAAGAAACACTGCCACAGATACTAGGGAACACAAACAGACAGAAATTATTTAGCCACTAGCTGTATTATCCATTAGCTCATTTGAGACCATTCCATTTTATATATAAAAAGGATAAGGGATAACCTGCCCTGCCTCACAGATATCTGCTTTGAGTAAAAATTGCCTCCAACTATTCACTTTTGTGCAGGAGACTGAAATTGTCCTGCAGAGGGGCTTCAGTAAAATTCCTCAAGTTCCTTCTCGGTAATTTATCCTCCAAACTGGAAATGGTAAAAAAACCCCAAAAATGCAACAAACAAACACATATACAGAAACAAACAAAGCAAAGGAATCTAGTGCAAGTTATTGTAATTAAAATCTATTGCAAAGCCACACTAAAAATTAAGTTGACCACCTCTATTAGGGTCTTCCCTACGTCAAATTTCTTAAACAAGGTATATTTGACAAACTAACATATCATCTCCAAATGATGCAAGTTCTATTTACTTACAATGATGTATTTATTATTTACTTTTTATCTACTTAGTTGATACTGTTTATAAAAACTATTGACAAGAGTTGTAACTTTTATTTTAAGGCATAACTGGACAGCACTTCCGGTTTCTAATGCTTCTTTCATGTTGCAGCTTTCACATAGTGCGGGTTCCCAGAATAAAAGGTCACTTCAGTACAATGCTATAGTAGTTCTGTCTCCCTCATTTTACATAAAGGACTGGACACAGACTGAAACCATTACCTACAGGAATCTCTGGGCAGATGTTTTAGCTGTTTTCTCACATGCTTTTTCACCTCTTTGTAAAACCAAGAGTCATTCCTCACTGCCTTACCTTTTCACATCTGAAGCCATCAAATTTAGCCTTTTCCTAGCCAAAGAAAAAAGGGTATATTCCACTAAACCTCCACTGCCTTTGTAATGAGAGTAGGCCACTCAGATAGAGGGAAAGGCCCCACAGCAGTCACGTGTCAAAAGTCTAACTTCTAAAACCTCTGTTTCTTCAGTAATCCTGAAGAAAGGGCTATTTTGGTACAGAAATAAACTGGATGCTTTCCCACACAAGAGCCTGACTGCCTCTTTCCAGGGCCATCCATTACAGGTTGATAGCTTAATCAACCCTATCCCTGACCAAATCCCACATCAATGAAGAAGCATCAATAAATCACATGCCATGACAACAGAATGAACTGAAATTACCTTTTCTCAGGATTTTCTGCCACTCTGCACCTCAGGAGAAAAAGCCAGCTAACACACAGCCAACCTATTTGCCAAGCCTGCCCTACTGTAGTGAGCCTTCAATAGGTTCAGCAATGAATTTGTGATTCTTTGGCTCAGAATATCTGACATCAAACAGCTACGATATTTGATTATCCCTTTATTCCTACAGTAAAATGCTGACATAAAGGACTTCTGTGAAAATTCATAGCTGATGATCTTTGGACTACAATATTCAGGGTTTGCTGCTTCTCTGAAGTGATTCACAGCTTATCCTCATCCTTAACACAAAGCAACTAAGTACTTCAACAAAGTCAAAAGGTATTATTAACTAAAGTTCAGTTGTGTAAATACTCCTTAATGGAACCCACACCATTTCTGGCATCACCTCTCAAATTCTGCTCATCTCAGAGACACAGCGATTTGGAATCTTCTGCAGGACATCTCCATGTTCTGAATTTGAAATCACCCCATTTCCCACAGATCAGAAACATTCAACAAATGCTGAAGTAGTGAAAAATTTAATGAGATGGAGAAATGCTAATAGGACATAGCAGAAAGCTGAAGAAACAGTTAAGAATTTTAAAAAAAGTATTTTGAAGAAATTATCCAAACCATACCCGGCTATGTTCTGCGACGTCTTTGTTTTCTTTGATTTGTGGTACATCACTATTCTTTTTTCTAAGCTCATCTATCCTTTCTTCACATTGTTCTTTTAATTCTTTCATCTGGTTGATGCACTGTGAGCTGAAAAAACACAAACAACACAATTAAGTTTCATCTAGACTCTTCTATGGGGTAATTTTGTAAATATCTAATTTATTTTTTTTCCTTCATATATTTATGCTTTTCTTTATGTTTTATTATTGCCTTAATTCTACCACCTGGTTTTACATTTGAGAAGTCACGAGGAAAAAATGAAGCATTGATCTAAGTCCTAAGGACAAATTCATAGTGCAGGCAAGTTCTATTGGAAGAAATTAATGTAAACTATTCTGTCTGACCAGCTCAACAAGCTACATGATTTTTCCATTGTGTGTTTGCTAACCGGTCAAGTCCAGGTAAGTTAAAATCAATTTTGATCTTTGAAGCATTTCTACTATGATTACAGAAATTCATATTTTGATTTTAGCCAGAAAGACAAAACAGAAAAGTACCAGCTGAAATAGAAAACATGTAATCTAGTGTTAGCAAACTGAACACACCTCCTCATTATTTCAGCAAAGTGCAGTGCTGCAAGTTGTAACAAAATATATGTTACAGACGTGGAGTTCACTAGTAGCTACTGTAAGTTCCAGAAGGAATATATTCTAAAGATGCAAGCACTGCGTATCTTTTACAAACTTTTAATACTTACAAAGCACCATCAGGATCTCAACCTTTGTGACAGCAGTCTTCTATCAGCATCCATGCAGCCTGCCTTTCCCTCACAGCTCCCTAACTCCTAGCTAAGGTCTGCTGTTTGCAGCAGTGTTTTTCCTAAAGCTGCCAGGGCACTGTTCTCCCCTTCTGTGGATGTGCTGGGGATTCTGTGCAAAGCCCAGGAGTTTTGTCAATCTGCTTCTCAAAGCAAGTGGCTGCAGTCAGGGCAAGAGGCTGCAGTCAGGGCAAGATCATCCTTTCTCTCCCACTCTTTTCATTAGCCATTTTATAGTTTCAGTTTACATCAAAGGAAGAACAAGACCTAGTGAATAACAAACCAAGACAAGCATTATCCCGTAATACACACACAGAAGCCTTAGAAACTAGTCATCATATGACCCCAAGTATGCTCTCTCCCCACTGTGAACAGGAACAGCAGTTTGAGTGGATCCCAATAGCAAATGTGTCACACTAGGGGAAAATACATCAACCTCAGTATCCGCTGCCCTGGAGAGCCTGCCCAAGGAAGAGCAGGCTCTTGGCTGGAGACCACTTTTTCTCTTCCATGCTAATCTAGCAACAAAGAAGTTTTATGGGATTTTAAAACCTTTTCTCCTTTCTCTCTCTCTCCTCTGTTTTTCCACTCAAATGTAACTTCCAGTTTTTATATACACAATCAGCTACAGACCTTGCAAACACATCTTTCTGCATTCAAAATCTTTTCCAGCAACCTTTATACAACAGCATGGTCAACATACTGCAAGTTTCTCATTCCCATCACTAAGACTAAAAAGGAGGGTGAATTTCTCCGTATTCTGGCTCTGACCAGTGTTATTCTAAGTGTCAATACCCTCTGCACAACAGCAGCTGTTTCAGACAGGTGTGCTGCAGTTTCTCAAGCTGAAAATAAACTACTATGTAATCCAAAGGAGTTTCCAGGCTATGTGCACTTTACCACAGCAGGTGACTAATTGTTATTGCATTTTCACCTTTCTCCAATCCTGCCTTTCAAAGGCAAAAAATTCCTTCGGTAGTTCACACCTAGAAAGGAAGAACAGTAGCAGACAGATATGCTAACTGACTTACTACCTTTATTAGGATTTCTTGTAGACCAGACATTATTCTAAAGTCTGATTTGACAGTGCCAATACATGGAAGAGTCACCAAATAAGCCATGCTTTAAACTGGTGAACATCAAAGAGAGTAAAACAGAGTAGGCTTGAGTTATACTCACATTCACTATTTCTAAGAAATAAAAGAACATATTAATTCTGTAACAATTTGCAAGTTTGAAAAAGATGCAATACACAGACAACCTGATGTCAGAGACAGAGTATTTGAGAAAGCTTGCACTTTGATCCCACAATGCACATGAAAATAAAGCTCAGTTAACATCTGTGACAAACCCTCACCATTTTAAGCTTATTATCTGTAAGAGAATTCCCTTCTTTTAAATGAGACTCGAGTACTCTACTCATGCTTACAACAGCTTCTAGAGCACAGAGATAGCCTTAGTTTATCCACGCAGTTATGTAACAAACAAAGCTCTTTAGGAACAAAAATGCATTTGAATATTGGAATGTATTCAATAACAATTTCAAAAGATGAGTCCAGAGGCTTCTGTTTCACTCTGGCTGCTGCAGGAGAGAAGGGTCAGTGTGCCAGTCAGTGAGCCTTTGCTGTAGAAGCTCTAACCGTGACCAGACAGCACTGGGCACAGTGCACACCATTGTGAAGCTGACTGCTGAGGAATGCGTGCTCCTTTCACACACAACACCAGTAAGGCAATATAGCTCCTGCTGACTTTTCATGGAAAACACTAAGCTTGTTTCAAAAAATGCTAAGATGAAACTTCAAGACTCCAGTACAAAAAGAAACAATGATTTTTTTTTCCAAGTTCACAGATTTTTGTTCTTATGCATTCCATATTCCATAAAAGCAAAACTGCTTTTACTACTGTCTTCTACAGAATAGTAACTGAAGGTTTAAGAAGAGTGATCTACAATGTGCCGTTTGAAAAAGACATTTGACTTCTGTCATTTTTTTATAACATTTTCATTATTTTTATACAAATAATATGGTCTTTCTATTTTTGCACTGGGCACAGTGTACTTGCTACCTAAGGTGCAAAACCTTCATCCATGCAAATCCAGGTAAAACACAGAAGCACATAATCAGGTCTAATGCCCCTCCCTGGCAAGGCAGATGAACAGAGAGGCAACACAGCAGTTTATTCCTAATAGGGAGGGGAGGAAGGAAGACAGATTAAAAATAACATTTGGAGTCTTTCCAATAATTCTTATTTTTCTAAGCCCACAATCACATTGGGAAAAGGCTGTTTGTAAGCATTTAAAGTGACAGTATTAAGTGAGCATGTAGCAAAGAAGAACATATGTAGCCAAGCACCACCACATATCCATTTCTGCAATTACCTAAACACAATATAAAGTTAGTTATGTAAATTAGTTTAGCAGAGAAATATTAACATTCCAACTTCCTCCCCAAAGGTACACAACAAGCAATGTTTTAAAAATACATGCTCCTCCTAGAACTGTGTGAATACTGCACAGTACTGAAGCTATAAATTATTTTATGAAAATTTGAGTCCAAAGTTTGTTTTCCTCACTTGGACTCTTAGGGAAAAAGTCTAGAAACAGAAAATGAACATACAAGTATTTTGCAGCAAAGCTAGTGAAGACAGCATTGCTCCTTGGCTGAGATAACTGCCTTTACAGACTCCCATGGAGACTCTGCAGGGAATGGTGCACCTGCCTCAAGACCAACCAGAAGCAGACCAGCTAGCTGAGTCTCTGTTCAACTACCACATGGCTGATTTATCACACTTGTCTCTATACTTACCCTCATAAAAGCAAACCCATCTTTACCACTGTATCATGCTTAGCTCTTCACCTTGAGCCAGACCACACCTTGGAGCTATGCTGTCTGAATACAAACTTCCTCTGTTAAACAAAGAGGGATTCTTTATGGTACACTACCACAAGCAAGGGGTGCTCTGTCAGTGATTTCCTCAACACAGCCATGCTTGTAAACGCTTCACCAGATACGGATAATAAACCTCCAAGTTTTCCTAAGCCAGACTAACTACATTTGCCGTGCATCACTTCCCTGTACGTGTATATCAATCTAGTGCTTAACAGGTGTACCTCTCATGTGGAGCATGACTGTCCAGCAGATAGAGATATTTGTGCTATATACAGATCTATTAGTTCCTGCTGATCTCAGAATCAGTTCCTGCTGATCTTCAGTGACTAACACAGAATGATTAACAGAGGTCCATGGGTCTCAGGTCTGTCATTTAGCTAAACAGCCAAGAGACAGTGCTTAACAACCAGGGTACACAACAAACACAGGGGGGAGAGGCCCCTTAACACACAGCTTATTGAAAGGCAGGCACAAACTAAAGTTTCCGACTTCCTTCTACTTTTCTGTTAGAAGTCTTAAATTCTCCACTAATGTAATCCATCTAGGTAATCTTTATTGCATGAGTAATAATCCAAAAAAAGGTGACAACCAACTGGTAATCAGTAAGTATCAGAGAAGCACTAACATTAATCTTCAATTCTAAGGTCAAGGGAAAAATAAAAATAAGAATACTTACTTCAAGTGTAGCCTGCAGAATTCAAGTTATTTGAGTGTCATGTACTTTCAGTTGTAATTTCTACAAACCTGGCTAAACAATGGCTGCTGAAAAAATACCTATCACAACAACTACATTCTTGGTGGAACATCATTATGAAAACAGTAAATTCTATTGCTTTTTTATATCTATGAACAAGGGGATACTACAGTTTGTGAAGGCAGGTAGAAGAAACAAGAATATTACTGAGCAGAAAGAACTGAGGAGAAATTCCTAGAAATATCAGAAATGTGTGCTTAGTGTAAGGATACTGATAAGTAACTTTCAGTTATCCATGCTTTAAAATTCAGTGGGAAATATTAAGAAAAAGCCATGACTAGGTATGTCATGTAAAGCAGAACACGTGAGTTTGATGGTACCAGAAATTCCCAAGACCACTGTCAGCTCAATAAGGTACAGCTTCTCATCAGGTATTCCCCTATCTTAATTCAAACTTCTTCACAGTTTAACTTCTTCCTGTTTCAATTTTCCTACACAATTCTTAAGTGATAATATTGGTACCTTTATCCTCATGCAATAGAAGGAATATAAAGAAGTTTCTGGGCACAGAGATGAAAAACTGTGGGAATTTAATGCTATTCTCCAAGATCAACTGTGAGCAATTTTAGATGAGTCAGATGTTACTGGTCTCTTTAAAAACATGTATTTACTAAGAGAGCTATAGCTAACACAAGAGTACTCTGGGTTATAATCAAGACACCTGCAATTTGGGAAGTCATCTTTCCTAAAGAACATACTTACAGGTCATATGAGAACTTCCTCTGAAGGTTAGTCTGGTTCTTCTGAAACCAGTAAACATCCAGCTGTAGCTTTCCATATTCCGTCTGTAACTCTTTCAAGTGTTCTGGTCAAAGCAGGATTAAAATACACATTAAAATACACATATACATATAGATTCTAAACCAGAAACATCAAGAAACAAATTTGTAATAACAATGCTAAATTTATTCATCTGTCATGCAAACTGCTTTTCATACATAAATGCATAGATAATTGTTGAATTTATTCAACGAGGGTGCATGGGATCTGGTAAGAATAACTTTTCAGCATAAAATATTGCCAAAACAGTATAATACATATTTTTACCTACTTTTCCTCTTAAGGAATCCAGAGAACTGGTTTGCAAACCCTGCTAAGTTGCAGTCTGGAAAACCTTTACATTTGTGAAATCATAATCTCAGCACAATATAAAACAGCATTCACATTTATCAAGCTTGCAATGCTTCCCTGAATACTATGTAATGTATACCCATGTTCCTTAGCAACAAAGGCATCTATGATTTAGTGTTTTCTTCCTGATAGAAACCTCTGTGAGATGTCATCAGAAGACAATACCACAACATACGTACTTCTTCATAGGATTTATTCCCAAGTACCTCCAGAATACATTGCTAACAACAATTTTGAAGCACTACCATGATTAGAAATTAATTAGACTGACTTTTTTTTATTTAATATAGGATTTGTGAATTCCTCTGGTGCTAAAATGCATGACCCCACACCTCAGGGAAGAATGCAAGAATATGTTGCAGGTAAAATGAAGAAAAAACTGAAGTAACTTAGTTCTATTGATATTCTATCATAAGAGTCAGGAGTACTACATCAAGCACTACATGGACAAATCCTCCTACTATTGTGGCAGATTAGACTGACACTTAACTGCAACTATGTAGATGAAATATCTAAGTCATGGCAGCTCTTGTACCACCTCCATGACTTGAACAAAGGCAGCATTCTCAAAAGACCACAGAAAAATGCAAGTCTTAAAAACAGGGAGCCTAAAAATCAGTATGAGAGTCACAGTGGTACCACAACATACCTCGTAGACTCTGAATCAGTCGATCATTTACTGTGATGTTACTCATCAGCACTGCCTGAAAGAAGCAGAAAAAACCCCAGTGCTTTAATTGCAAAGGACCTGTATTACCATTATAAACAACACCTATCAAAGCACTTGTTACAAGATCTACTTTTCATGTGCCACGGTTCTGACAGTGTCACAGTTGAACAAAACCTTTTAGCTGCTTTAGAGATCTCCTACTGCAAACAACATTCACTTTAACCCAGATTTTCCAGTATAAGGGAGTGAGGGAAGATATCACCACACAAATGAAAAGAGGAAGAATTTAAAGGAATTTATAGATACTAAAATTGCTTGTCACTTTATTCTAATTTCATCTCATGACTGGAGTCACAGTCAGACTTTATCTCTTGAAGGAAGAATACAACATCACAGCTCACAATCAATTACCCTCTCACTCAGGAATCAATACACATGCATTCAGGCATTCAAGATGAGCTATGAAAGCATTAATCATTCAGCATAAAGCAACTCCATGAAAGCAATGTGAAACCCTTGCATTGTATCCCTTTTCAACCTATCTTCTCGATTGCTTTCATGTTGGAGTGGCCTTCCTCCACTCCTTCACTTTGTTCTCCCTCTCATTCTGAAGAGGTAGTCAACATAGGAACAAGTTTCGTCTATTCTTTCATCAATCTTCATCTACCATTTCATATACACACATTCCCCAAAACACATGAAAACTGAATCAAATCACAGCTAACTGAAATTATTCCTGTGAGGCAGATGCCACGATAACTCAGATTCATATGCATCATTTAGCAGGTCTGATGCACAAGAGTTCTTAAGAATACAAAAAAGAGATCCACTAACTCTTCAGAAACAATCCAGTCCACTCTTAGGAAGGCATTTCTCAGGCTTCATTGTCAGTTCCCCTATTATCCTTGTCCTGGGAAACCTCGGGGTTCTTCAATGGTCCCAGAAAATCAACTCCTCCGTTTCCCAAAGTTTCTGCTCTAGTATTGATGTGTGTGTATGTCCACACCCAAAAAGAAGTTGCAGCATCCACTCTGTCTGCCCAAGTCACCCTGAAACACTGACAGCATTGTTGGTGCCTTCCTTCCCAAGGCTACAGTAATAAGAGCCAGCTGATTGCATGAGTGCAGCGTTCAATAAATCTGAGTGGAACAAGACCCAGCAGGGCAGTAGCTTTGTCTTTGAATGATCCTTTAAAGAGTCACACTTCACAGAGGTGGTCATTCAGCTGTCGCTAAGTATTTCTACACCATTCCATATGTACAGCTGTTTTGTGAACACCACCATGAAACCTCAAGAAAAAAGGGTCATGCTGAAGCAAAAAGAAACTCAAAAAACAGTAAGGACTTGTATGTAGGATCGTTTATCTCTCCCTCTCCTTTCTCACAGGATAGGTAAATAAGAAGTTCTTTTTGTCCCACTGGTTTATTGGGAAAAGGAAATTAATGTTTCACTGGAAATTCCAAGTTTTGCTATTGTGTGGACAATGTAGTCAGGCTGTTCCAGGATTATCACCTTCAGGATAATACAGCATTGGCCACTACCAGAAACTATCAGTGGACTAGAAAAATCAGTATGATAGACCAATTTATAATTTTATATTCTTAGAGTTTTTTTGTGGGGCTTTTTTGGTTTTGGTTCTGGGGGAAAGGGGAGAGGCGAATGGGAGGGAATGGGGGGGTCCTTAAAATCAAACTCCTAAATGCCAGGATCACTTATGTGACAGTAAAATATACAAGTGTTACATGCTTTGAACATTAGGACAATAATAACAACTGTGATTAGCTGAAGTAAGAAAAATTACTTTCCATATTAAAAAAAAAGTCTCTTTGAATCACAACAGGGAAGAAAATAAGTCTGCCTTGGTCTTTATGGATTGCATATAAAACTTCCTTTTGGCAATGCCACAGCTATCTCCTTGAATGTGTGGGCAACAGTCCAGGCAAAAATCTGTTAAATCCCAGTTAGCTGTTTAACTTGAGCAGGAAACACTGTTTAATCATTTACAGCACAGTACTGCAACTGCCACCTTCCAATCACACTAAGTCAATAACATTAGGCCTCCCATTCTTCTTCCTATCATTCAAGTGTTAACTAATTTTCACCTTGTGGCTGTAAATTAAGCAAACATTATTTACTTTTGGGGTTCTATGCTGGTCAAGAATGAAAACTGCTGGGAAGTACTCAGCAGATACATGCCAATACTCAGTTCTAGAAAGGAAATCACATTTTAAACTTCATTTAGGCCACAAAACAATAGCTATAATCCCCAGGAGCAAAAAATCCAGCTTTTGAAAAATCCCCCTATCACCATACCAAAATCTGATATTCTGTAATACAGTAAATCTATAATATAGCACCAGCTTATTCTATTTGTAAACATGTTTGCACAGAAGTCTTTATGACTACCAAAGAGGAAAAAATCAAATTTTTTGATTGGAGACAATGCTGTGGACAGCAGCGCCTCAGACATCAAAACTCAAAAGTCACACTTCCACCAGTAGTGTGGGAAACAAATTGCTCCAGCTGTACAGCAAACTTTTAAGTAATAGCAGCTGAAGATTTGTTTATTATTCACCACAGAACATGTCTACATAAGTATTATTCCAGTTAAGAGACACAAAGCTAAAGTTACTGTTTAAAAATAATAAAGCATAATGCAGAAATATGCATGATGAAGCTTTGAGAAAAATTATTTGAAGTATTTTTTTGAGCACATACTTTGGACTATGTAAATGCATTTGATCTGAATAATGCCAAACAGTATTCTCCATACACATATTCCCTGGAGGTATTACTACAGTAACTCATCCAGCATTTGCTAATATCAAGAACCAAGCTAACCCAAGCACACTGAACTGACATATGTCCTTTCTAACACTGACTGTATGTGGTGGATGTAAAAGCATAATGAGCATGTATAAAAAAGCATAATTGCAACAGAAAAAAGAAAGGAAATAGTTTGATAAGCATAAACACTAAAACTTAAGAAAAAAGGGGCTTTGCATACACAAATATAGCACAAAGGAGACAAAGATAAGCCACAGAATCAGTAACTCAACTGGTAAGAACAAAACCAACTGTGAATAAAGCAGGATGGGAAGGTAAAATTTATACATGCAGAAACAGACATTTATAATTAACCAGGGAAAAGGAGGGCACTTATTTCATGATTAACTCAAACTGATTTAAGTCTCTCCAGCAAAGAGAAAGAGTGGTTCTGTCTTGCATGCTCCCACAACTCCCCACACTACCCTGGCATTAGCATGAGAATAATGCTGGCAACACACTCATGTTTTAGTTACTGTTCAGTAGTGCTTGCACTAAAGCAAGGATTTCCCTGTTTCCCATGCCCTGCCAGCCAGCAGGTGCAAAAGAAACCAGAAGGAAGCTCTGTCAGGCATCCCAAACTGGCCAAAGGGACATTGCTTACCACAGAACATAGGGACATAAAGTGGGGGAGTTGGCCAGGAGACACTGATAGCTGCTGGGGGATAAGTTGAGCAGCACCATACAGCAAGTGCTGAGCAACTGGATTGTGTATATCTTGTTTCTGTTGGGTTTTACTCCTCTCAGTTATCAAACTGTTCTTATCTCAACACAGTTTTCTTCAAAAATCTAGAGGGAAATGTGGAGAGTGAGGAAGTGTCTGCATGATATTTACTTGCCAGCTGGTGTTAAAACATGAGAACTTACCATAAAAAGTCTTTTTGGTTCCAGGCCAAGAGACTAACAGCCAAACTATGTATTAGTGTATCGGGGAAAAGTTAATAAATGTGGTTTTAAGGAAATATTTATCTTTAAGGTTGATCATTGTGTTGCACACTCACTTATACTTCAGTGGAGGCACATCAATTAAGTAAGCCTTAGAACAAATTTCAAGCTCAAAATGGAGGAGATATTGTTCATTGAAACCTATGTCCCAATTTTCCATTCAGAAACGGCACTTTTCCTCAATAAACATAAAAAACCCCACCCAATCAACAAAAGAACGCCAAACAAATGAACAACCCACATACCCAGCAAAACCCAAACCCAAAAAAACACCTCTGTTTCTACACAGTAGCTCCGCCAAAAATCTGAGACTCAACCTTGTATCACAGCCTGTGGTAAAAGCAATCTAGGTTCTGTTTTGTCACAGAGGACACAAGGACATGCACACCATGACATGTTGTAGTTCTGCCTTCAAAATCACCAAAATTGCAAAGTTAGTTTCTTAATGTTTAAGCACAAGAGGGTGGTATTTGACACACATGAATACAAAATTACTATTACAGGTACAGGGCAACAGCAAGTAGATTGGAGGAAAAAAGCCCCTTGAAACTACAGGACGTTCACTTCACTTTATTCACTTTCCCTCATTTTACATTTAACAAAAACCCAAACAGTAGGCAATGTAAGCAAAGCAAAATCATATGATACGAGAATATTAATATAAAACTTCCACAGATATATCTAATGCACCTTCTGACTTTTTGTCCATTCATTTAGCTGTGAAGAGGTAGCAACATTCCAATAGATAACTTCAAACTACAAATGCACTAAATTCCCCCTCTAGTTTAGCTAGCCTCAGACCACCCTTTTTTTTTTCTTTCCACCATGTGAAGATATATTTTGAACAGAGGTGATCTTCTAGACTTCTGCTGTACTAGTTATGAGGAAGCATACTGATTTCCCTTGATAATTTAGTAATATTGTGCTGCGGCAAATATGGGACATGAGGCAGTGCTTCCCTACCTCAAAACTTTTCCAAAACTAGAACATGCAGCACTGTTTGGGTTGGAAAAAAAAAATCAAAAACCAAAATATATATAGCCTTCAGTGAAAAGGAAAAGGTACCTTTCTACTCTCTCCTACAGACTACTGTAATTCCTTCTGAGTGGAGTCGACTCCCTGCATACCAATAGGTACTTTGTGCCAGAAGATTGCTAGGAACTGAAATTTTCCCAGAGGGAGGGGACCAGAGAGCAGCTGTGGCTAGTGTTAAAAGATACTGAGCAACAGGACAGTGACGTGCTTCACACAGAACATACATATCTTGGCCCTTCCCAGTAAAAGATTTGGGCTGGAGAAGATTTATGTAAATCCAAAGAAAACTACCAACTACAGAATCATACTCATGCATTTCAGAGATATTAAACACATTGTTGCCCTGTTATGCTCCTCAAAGAGACTTCTGTAGCTCTGTAAATCCCAGAATACAAGTCCTGAATAACAACCACATAGAATATACAGATTAGAAACAGCCTTTTTGCACTCCTGAACTGTTGTTAATGAGTGTTCAAGTAAGACTACTTGGTCTCATGATTCTACTTCTGCATGGACTTGCAGAATCCATTTCCTAAATCTACACTAATCCTTAAAAATTCAAGCAGGTTTTTTAAAAATAGACTGGTGGCAGTAGTGTTTCATACACACTCAGACCTAAGAAAATAACTACAACAGTAATTTTCCAGAACTACACTGCCCCAATGAATGGTGAGCCCACACAGTATAACAGGCTCAGACTACCCACCTTCTATGCCCTCATCCTTCAAGTAGCACAGAGACAGTTCTACTACAAAAGAAGGAAGATTTAACTCAAAGTGATTACTGTACTGCTAGTGACAATGACTTTAACTGGGCAAAACACCTTACTGGTGTTTTGGTTTGGGATGAAAGTAAGTCACTACTGTAATTATTCTATGTTTTATCAGCAGAGTAATAAGACACAGTGAGCAGAGATGAAGTGCAGTTATATGTGTCTCAAATGTTACTTGTGACTTGCTCTTGGTTAGAAGTCCAGATTGTGTAAGTGAGCCTCATATGTGAGTTTCCTCTACAGACCAAAGAACCATAATTTCTTCCTCAAAAAGTGGGAGGTTTGAGAGGGACCAGTCATTCCTATAGAACTGCTGAAATCATTTTAATTTTTCTTTAAGAACAGCAAGAACTAAGCAAACTCTTATTCATGACTCAAAGATCTCTAGTTAGTTATAGTTTGTAAAATACTTGTAAAATGGGTTGAGAGTCTCGGGATTTAGATTTGCATTCATTCTTCCTGACTAGGTAAATACTGCCCACTAATCCTTACAGAGTAAAAGTTCAGTTCAAGGAGCAAGCTTCCCACAATCAGAAAGGGTGAATTAATTACTTGCCTCCCAGGAATCCTAGATTCCACTGCAATCTATGGAGTCAAAAAACAAGGATATATGTTTATATCCTGTATATACGTTCATATCTTATATACACAAGAGATGAACATACAAAACACATTTATACATGGACAGAGATACACACAAACAAAAAAATCACTCAGGTGCTGTCTTTTCTTATATTCCATATCCCTCTGTAAAACAACCTCTGATCCTAGACAGCTTCTTCCAATAAAGGTCATTAGTAAGCAGAATTAAGCTTTCCCTCTCTTCCCTGCCACCGTTATCAGAGGCATTCCTGAATTACAGTGGATGAATCCATAGCAACTTGGCTGATGTCTTCTTTTGACAAATGCACAGCTTTCCAGCAAAACAAACAGCATATTCACAGGATATTTGTTTGTGTGTCACTAGAAAAGCAAATTTTGAATTTGATGCAAAATGGTGCACCAGCACATACCTGCTCACCCTCCCACTTCAGGCTCCTGAGTGAGACACATGCTCTTCTCCAGTCACAGAATGCAGAAGTCAGGAAATACCACTTCCCTAGGGTATCACTTCCTGGGGTTTCTAAGCAAGCTTTATAGACTGAACAACTGTATTTTAGGGTGATAGAGAGACAAGCACTTAGGAGGCAGGAATTTCAACTACACTGGCCCCAAAATCTACCTTTCCCAGCATCCCACCTCTAACACTGAAATGCCAATTGAATTCCAAGGCAGCCATAAAGCACAGAATTTTCCAAGCAGCAGCTGCTTGGAAAAATGTGTCTGAGGAACACATGGAGATAGAGCAAATACCTTGGAAGTGGGCTAGGTGTTAGTCCAAGGCCATCCAGTTGCTCGTTAACCTACACAGACCCACTGTAACTGGGTATTATAGATGCCACACACTTGCAGCTTCACCACCTATTGCATGAAGAGCACTACCTTCTGCTCAGTCTGAACTACAACTTGATGATAGCATTTGAGGCGCATTAGTGAATGCAGGACAACCCTGCCTTCCCTCTCCAGCCACAAACATTTTCTGTACCATTTGGAATCCTGAAGATAACTGTGATGGTTCTCTTCTGCTGACCCTTGTCCAGCCTGTAAACCATACTCTGGATTCCTGTAGAGAAACTACTGCACAGATTTGGTGACCTTTGCTCTCCTCTCTATGCCTTTCACAGCACTTCAAAACTCCACTGGTAACCGCCCCCACAGTACAACAATCAACCCAGTATATTTCTAAGGGGCTTTGTAACTTTTGTCTTGTCATTCACCCTTGCAATTCCACTGTCTGACCCACGGCTGCATAGTATCTCTACAAGCCACTTCAACTCCAGGTGTGAATGTGTTCACTTCTCTCCCTCGCCTTAATCACCAGCTCTTTCAGGAGAAAACTCCAAGATAACTCAGAAGAAAGACTTTCTTTTCCAGAAGCCACATTGACTCTTCCCCAGACACCACATTCCACCCCATGTCCAACAGCAGTTCTAGTTCTGCAAAATACCTGTTACTACTTCTCCTGGCATGGAGGCCACATTTTATGAACAGTTCCTGTACGCCCACTAGGCTCAAAAACACCACAAGGAAAGTGGACTGCGTGCTGCTACCTAACACTCATCTGATGCCAGAAATCTGAAGCAAAAAGATGGCACATCATGCTTGGCAGAAGCAACATTTCATTCACTAAACTTTCTTAAAACTCCTTGATGAGGTCCTCTCAACATCTGCCCCTCTTGCTAGCCTGTGCTGAGAATTCTCTGGCCAGCTCTTTCAGTGTCTTTTAGTAGCTCTGGCAATATCTGCCTATAGAAAGGAAGCATAATACTCTATTACATTTGCGCTTTTCTTACCTTTGAATTTTATTTTTTCCACTCATGCATGTGTTTTCACTCCCTGTAGGACTGAAGCAGAAGGCAAGAAAATTCCACAGCATTCAGTAGCAACACCCAATAACAGGAGGCAGAAGTGACAAGATTTGATTACTTACTTGAATACCGTCTGAATATTCTCAGATATCTTTTTTAAAAATGCACGCATTGAAAAAATAAATAGACAAACTATACCTCATCTTTTTAAAAGTATATGCAAGGACTGAACACAGAGAGAAAAGAGAAATTATCAAGGATATAGGTTTGTCTCAAAAGAGGTAAAAAGAATTGGTTTATTATTTCCTAGAAGACTTGGGGTAAAGATTATTTCAAAATAAACTAATGATATATGACATTGATGCACCCATTCTACCTTCCATTTTTAATCAATTTTTGTTCCTCTAAGTTCTTCAAAGATTAATCTGGTTATATTTTTCTCAGGCAACACATTTTGAGGAGCAAACCATTCCTTTATAGTGAACCTGAAGAGTACCTATTACCATCACAAGATGTGATTGTTCAGCCTTCTGAAGGTAATAGTCCTGGAAAGCTGATCTATAAACTTCAGTCAAGAGATTCTATGGGAGAAGCAATTGAATACTCTCAACTAAATGCTTCTGCGAATAGGGAGAAAATGGATATTACTGACTAGCAACTTCAATCAAAGTGGTATCTGCAACACAAGGAAAATACACAGCAAACCAGTTTGCAAAATACTACACAGCAGGAATCATACACACTGCTATTTAAGTAGATTTGTTCACATTCTTCACAAAGGAATACCATCCCCCTGGTGAAGCTGAACTGTCAGGAGCACTGCCGTGAAAGTCTCACCTTCTCATATCTTCCCAATACCATTAAGTTTTTGAGGCAGAAAGCCAAGATGCCACAAAACTTGTAAAGCATTTAGAAATAAATGTCAACCATTTATGCTTACAAATATATTTGGGAATATATATATATATATTTGGTCCATCTTCCTCTTTTACCTAGTTTTTAAAACATTAATATACAGGAAAGAAAGTGAAGGGACAATCCAAGTATGGTAACGACTTATAGAGAGGATAAGAGTTTAATTCAGAACTGCCGTTACTTGCAGCTTTTAGTATTTCAAAATTATACAACAAATGCTAAAATGTCCATTCAAGGTCCATTTTCTCAATATCATACAATATAAAATGTTTTGCCACACCAACATTGTCTGTAAGCTGCAACACGTGAGCACCACTTCCCACTGCAGAGTGTGTCTTGGTAAACTACAGTCTCACAGAAAACTGTGGCTAGGAAAAGCCCTACCTTCTCTTCCTGATGTACTCTGTTCACGTTTTCCATCTGAAAGCTGTGCAAGGACTGGATTTTGTCAATCTGCTGTCGCTGCTTCTCTAGCTCCCCTTGGAATTCATTCTTTTTTTGTTCCACAGCACCCCTCTCCGCTGCTGCCCTGCGGACTTTGCCTTCCAGATCCATGACTCGACCCTGAGGAAGAGCAGATTAGCCAAAGCAATAAAAAATGCTTTCCCCTTGCCGGAATCTTGTGCAATATATTCAAGGAATAGCAAATTTTACAGCGCTAACAATGCAGATATCATGAAAGTCCTGTGTCAGCCAGGGATACTAGTCATACACATATACACACACTTCCGTAGTTTTACATAAATTAACAGGAGTGCATATTTTGTAAAGACTCTAAAATTTCAGGTAAAGATGAGAAAAATTAAAAGCTCAGTACTTGAGCATAAAAAAAACCCCAAAACATAAACATAAAAAAGATTAGAGACTACAATCTTTCTGAAGTCAAGGTCAAACAATTTTTTTTAATTTAGCCCATACAGTTCTGACAGCTTTACACTTCTCAAACTAACTCAGTGTGGAAACTCAGCTCTCAAACCAATCTGATTCCCTGGAAGAGCTAGAAAAGGGTAGAGGGAGGACAACACTGCCCAACTTTTACATGAACAATTCACATATGGCTATTACACAAAGACATATATGAGAAAAATCCATTCATTCATAAACAGAAAATCATCATTCTTCTTGACTGCCCAAAGAACAGCTACAGTCAGAAGAAAATTCAACACCATCACATCCTGTAAGAGACATACGCTAAGGAATCAAGCCTGATGTTTTCACATTCTTTCCTCCTCCCCCCGCCCTTCTTTTTTGTAAGTACCAATTTAGTTTTGCAGGACGTTGTTTTTAAACATTTTGGATTAAAATTGTTCTTCAGCAGCAACTAGGAATACAAAAAAATGCAGGGGGCTGGGGATATCAACAGAATGAAAAAAGACCTGGTGATTCCAGGTGGACTAAAAATTAGATATAATAAAAACTGTGCATGTTCCAAGACTCCAAAAAAATGTTCCAAATCTCCTTACACCACAGTATGTAGCATGTCAGGACCCACCTACCCTGCCTCTCTGCCACAGAACTAAAGGAAAGGGAGAGGAGCCGGAGGGAAAAAAAAAAGGAAAATTACTTGCAGTTTAGCTGGAATAGCAAGGAAAAACACTCCTTCCATTTCAGTCATAACAACTGCAAAGTCTTGCCAACAAACAAATGGGTCTAGCTAGAGAGAGCTTCAGAAGCTCCATCCATGCTCAGCTATGCTTTTATTCCATTCAGACTGTGTGACCATGCCAAAGTGAAGTAATTTTTAGGCTAACTTTAGGAGAAATATGTATGATGGCACAGTGTACCTGTATTAGTATCTCAGGACCTTGTGCCTCTAGGTTATGGAGACCAAGATAAATCTGGGGCATATTTTTCTCACTATCAGCTGCTTCATGGCTTTGCAGCAACACTTCAGTAGTACTGACACAGTTACTACCCACTGGTAGCCACTATCCTGAGGCCACTGACTGAAGGGAAAGCAAGGGATGACCAGGGTCTCAGAAGTCATAAGACACACCCTCAACCACATGGCCAGACACAAGTGCCCTGTTTGAATACTGCCTGTTCTGAGGTGAAAGAAACAGGAGTTCAACTCCTTCTGTTGACAGTACTCAGCTGTCCACTCAGTACTAAAATTTGGCTCAGTTACAAAGAGCATGCAAATTCACTGGATAAACTGGGAAGGAGCTCTCATGAGCCATGTTTAATCAACATGTTGTTAGTTTTTAGGTCAGCTTGTTAAAAACAGTAACAAAAGAAAAGGAAAAAAAGAGAAAAAAAAGAGGGAAAAAAAATAACTGTCCTGCAGAAATTGTCACAAATTAGAAACTTGACTCACATATCCTATATCGGAACAAATGGTCCAGAAAGGATTAAAACCTAAGCTCAACAGCCACAAAAAATACAGTTATAATCAGAAAAATATAGTTATCATCAGGCAAGGTAATTACTACATGTGACTTGTATGTCCTTCTTCAGAAAGATCACTAAGAAACACAAATTCAGATTTCATTTCTGAACAAGCCAGATTTCCTTGTACAGTATGTATACAATGCTATCAGTCATGTACAAAGACAAATCTAGGAATATCAGTGGGCTAGTTCTGATTGGGATAGAGTTAATTTTCTTCACAGTGACTGGTATGGGGCTCTGTTTTGGATTTGTGATGAACACAGGGTTGATAATATAAAGATGTTTTTGTTATTGCTGAGCAGGGCTTGCAAAAGCCAAGGCTTTTTCTCCTTTGCATACTGCCATGATGGCAAGGAAATTGAGGGTGCTTGGGAAGGGACAAAAGAGGACGGCATTTATCACATCTTTAATGTGAAACAGTACAAGACAGCTGAATGTTTTGTGAGAGCAGAAGTAACAACTATCACACATGCAGGTGTGTTCAAGTTTTGGATTCCTCTCATGTACAAATAGGCATTCATCCCACTTCCCCACTACTGATAAGCAACAGCTGTAAAATTTGTGGAAGTTCCTACAACAAGCTAAAGTTCCTGGCTTGCCACATGAAGGAGAATCATCCTTCTCGTGAACTATGTTTACTACTTGCAGAAGTACAAAGTGACATGCAGAGCAAAAGGAACATTACCTGCAGATCCATGCTGCGAGAACTTGCAACCCAGTAATTGAAACCCAAAACAATTATGCACGCCACGAGCGCAGCCACGAGGAGTGGTGGAGACTTCATCCCGCGACAGCTGTTTCCTAGTCCTACCATTTCAAGAAGAGAACAAATCCGACTAATCACAGCAAGTATGGAAACCTGCAAATTAAAAAGGGCACATTATACTGCATCCCCAACTACAGCTATTTTATACATACAGTAATGTATAATACAGCCTATCAGCTGACAGCTGTTGCATTACTGTTTGCAGTAATGCAACAGCTGTCAGCTGATAGGCTTACACCCAGCAAGGAAGGTGAATGTACTGGTGTTGACCTGTCTAGATATTTCCATCTGAAAGACAAAGAAAGGTCATCTTAGCATGTACACTATTAGCTTGTACATAAAGCTTCACATGCTCTTGAGGGGGATGTCTTGAATACTCCTAATAATATAATGCAAATCTGCAATAAACAGAAGCAGCCATTTTTTTATCATACATCTACCCAAAAATCCACGCAGACAACACTGGGCTAGAGAACAGATTGCTTTTTACCTAATTTGCTCAGAAAATTAATTTAGTCTTGCTGTTTGAAGAGTAATTCACTTTGAAGAGTAATGTGCTTTCTAAAATTGGACTATTTCAACTTATTCCATCCGGCACTACTATTGTAACTTCTTATTCCTGAGCCTGTAAATAAATACGTAAATAAGACTGAACCAAATTATTTAAAGGAGAACCTAAAAATAGCAATTAATATAAATATGAGCAGACACTCCACTGATTTCAATGTTACATTGCATTAAGTGTTCTCCATTTTGATGCTCAGCTGCTTTCTCTGCTCCTACAGAAAATAAATAATGAATTAGCAGTACCAGGGATACTACTGGTTGTTATTGAGATTTGTGTTATTTCTGTGAAACAGACCATCTTAAAAGATAGGCAGGGGCAAAGGGTAGCTGCAATTCTCTTTGAAGTAAGCTACATTGATTTTATGGTGTGGTGAAATCTGGTCTTAATAAGCCTAATGGCACCTAGCTTCATGAATCCTTAAACTCCAAGGAATCTTGGCTGCAGTTTGTAGAAGATTGCTCCCTTATAAACTGAGATTAACTTTTTTTCTTTCTGCACTCCAGCAGTCAAAAGACAGAAAAAATAAGCACAGAAGACCAGTCAGTCAGCAAATATATATGCATCACAAGACACTAGTTAAATCCAAAATGTATACATTTACTAGTAATATATTGTACAAGCTCTCAAGGTACATATTTTTAAGCAAAGCAACCTCTTCCCTACTATTGCAACACATAAGTGGCAATGTTTTCAAAATTAATAAATGGTAGCAACTCTCAAAGGATTTACACGTGAACATACACTGCAAGCACAGGGGAAGAATGTGATGCCAACAGTTCGCAGGTCCCAGAAATGCAAATTCTACTGTACATCCAGCACTTAAGTCCTTCAACAGCTCACCTATACCTCAGTGTCCACATGCATTGTCTGCAAAATTCCCTCTGCAGTCAAGATAGATTATAACTTCTTGTTTCTCAGCAGACAGTGCATAATACTGCCAGATTCACAAAGGTTTCAAATCCGTGTATTCATTTGAAAAGTTTCCTAATTTGTATTTGAGGGTGGAACATACAGAGGATATAAGAGTAAAATTTTCAGCTTCCTGAAAATGTTGCCTCTTCATAAACACCCACACACACCACAAAACAATCCAAAGTCTAGCACCTGAGACTTGAGTTTCTTGCCTAAAGGAAACTCAGCTAAGGCACAAAGGGACACATGCATCACAGCTCCAGCAGACACCCACAGGGCCACATACAGATGAAGCAAGGTCAACAATAAGAAGCAAAGGCAATGAAAGGAACCATGTTGTTTGGTTTTTTTTTCTTGTAACGCAAAAAATTAACACTCAGTAGATAAAAACACACACAGAGACATGCACAAATTTCCAGAAGAAAGCTATGAATTGCAGAAACACATACATCTTGCACAGACTATTATCCTACTGTGTCATCCTAAAAGAAGCACCTGAGAAGTACAGAGTCACCATGTCTTACACATGACCTCTGAAAACCAAGAACCCCCAATCTCCAGAGTAGCAGAAATGAGAGCACAAAGGGCATGATGGAGTTAGCACTGCAATCTCAGCAAAGAACAAGAGAATCTATTTACTTTTGCATACCAGAATACAATACTGTATTTCAAAAAAGGTCTGTCAGAACCCATTATGAAGTCATCTGTATCTTGTCGTTTGCTGTAATAGTAGGCACACTTGACACATGGAAAAACTACAAAGAGCACTGCCAAGATGCAGTGATTCATTCTAAGTGTGACTTGAATAAAATAACTGGTATTTTCCTCATAGCTGTCAGAAATAGAGAAAACAGTTCACATTATCAGCAGTAATAGCTTGCACTGTAGTTATCTACTAGATAAATATATGGGACTAGCTGTTTAGCTCAAAAATTTTCAGAGGTAAAGCAACCATATTGTTCAAGGAAAGAATGATGAGTTCTCCATGCAGCTTAAAGCACAGGCACAAAACCATGATAAAAATGCCAATACATCTAAATAGTAGACAAATCTGTCAGCATCAGCACCTTTTCTGCTGTTTTCACCTGTTAAAAACAAACAGGCAAGTAAGTGCTGGTTTCACTAAAGCATGTTTGACTTCAGTACATTGCTCTTTCTAGAAAAGAGCAGTGTTGTTTATCCTTAAATCATTTATATTAATTAGGAATATATTTTTATACTGAACAAAAGGAAAAGCAAAAGGAAGAGGAAAGGCATGAAAGATACAGAAGGTTTTTCTGTTCGCATATTGCAGACCCAAAACTTTACCTCAGTTGCAATATCAAAATTCCCTTTCTCGTTAGTTTAAAAAATAAAAACTGTTTAACTTTCTGCCATGGGTATACATACTCACATAATTTGGAAGAGAGATAAGCAAATCAGCTCAATCACGAAAATCTGTTTGCACATGCTGTTTTCCAGGAAACATCTGGTCTGGCACAGTTATTTGAGTTGGATTTCAAATAAGTTTCTGATTTTATGGGTAAGAAAGTATTTTTACTGAAGATAAAATCCAACAATCTCCATGGCAGATGTAAAAAAAAGCATATTCGTAAAATTCCTGACTTCTGAACAAAAGATTTCATCCTTCTGTTTTTCCAACCTAGTGGTGCTTCATTGAGATGGAGATGTTTTAGACTGAGATATTCAAGCAAATTAACACACAGCATACTTTTACTTCCCACAGTAAGTAATTCTTTTTATGGTACTCAGCTGAAGTAGGATATCTGTTATCCAGCAATCTTTTACTACAGATAAGCAACAACATTGCCAACCAAGCCTCCAGACCAATACACTAGTTCTAAAGACAAAACAAAATGGTGCATTTCAGACTCCCAGAAGGAAAGCCAAGTCTCTCTGCTCACAGGGTTCAGCTCTGTGTACTTCCTTAAGACCCGCCCAGCAGAAACAACCAGAAAAGGTGAAAAACTCAATAGACACACAGCAAACAGTGTAGGAAAAATGTTCCCTTATCCCTGGCCAGCATACCTGTCTACCAACCACCTCCTCCACCATCCAGCCACTGCATCGTACAAAGCCAGTATAAGCCAGAGCAGCATCTAAAGACAGACCACAGCCAAAGCAGACACTGAGAATTGAAGGCACAGCTTCTTGGAGGTCTGAGTACTTGCAACTCTGAGTAAGGACAAAGCCTTACTAAAACCCCTGCAAAAACCAGAAGCAAGAGACAAAAAAAGAAAAAGTCCCAACAAGGACCTAAGGGCTAATGCACAACATAGAGGTGACACAATCCCATCCAAAACAGACTGGACCAGAACGGGGAAACCTCCTCCATATCAAGTGAGCCCCTCTGACAGTGGTGCTTTCCCCACCTATTGCAAATTTTTTTCCAAACTCCCAGTGAGCTTCTGGAAGAAATCACTGTGGTTTTTTTCAGCTATTATCATGAAATTCCTATGTCTGATTGTTTGAATTAAACCAGTGTATTAACCAAACAGGTTAATCAAAACTTCTCCCATTGACAAGTTAGTTAGGTATACCCAGATACAACTAAATCAGACTAAAAGGTATTAGAACTTGAGTTTTATTTTTAAAATAATTAAATGAAATTGGAAAAATTAATAATTCTTAAAACAGTAAATCAGAGAGCAAACATTTGTGCACCCGGTCTTCCAAAAATAAAGGTGACCATTATTTGAGTGGGTGGAAATGGAGCGCAGAAAAAAGTGAGTCAAAACCTTTCAATTTTCATTTCATAAATGGTTAATACACAGTAGTGATTATCTTTGAAAGATAAATCCAGCTGGTTCTTGCTCACAGCAGGATCTTACTTACAAGTACCACTATTCACAGCCCCATGGTGAGAACCAGCTACAGCCAGCAGCAACCTTTATGCTTTCAAAGTTGCACAGACTGTACACAGGGCTCAAGGAACTGTACATGGTCACAAAACAGAGCATACAGATTTCTTATCATCCTCCACAGCAACACTGTCTGAGGGGTTCTTCCTTTCAAATTTGCAAGTTAAAAAAATCTAACAAACATTTTTCCATTGGAGATTTAAAGTTTGTGCACTGAACTCAAGCCTGCTGACCACAAACTTCCTATATGCCTTTCACAGAGATTTACAAACTGCAGGGAAAAAAGAAAAGAAAAAACACTCTGAAACATTCAGCGACAGCCACTACTCAAACTTCTGTACTTTGGATGAATGTTACAGAGTCACTATTTACCAAAATTATCAAGCTACAATCTTTACAAGAAGGGAACTGCATTTTCACTACAACACATTCAGCAACTCCACTTTCATCCTGCTCAGGAATAACCATTTATTTGATAGTCAATTCAGGTGTCAGGTCTTCCTTTTCTAAAGCACTTTAAAATAGAAGTAACAGATTAGAAAACTTTGAAAACCCTAAAAATGCAATATCTGTCCAAGGATAGGGTCATTGTTACCACTTGTTCACTAATCATATTTCAGCTCAAGAAGTCTCTCCTCTTTCAAATGACTGCTTTACAAGAAGCTAACCACCAAACACCCTCAATGCCCTTTAGCTGATTAAAGAGA